TGCTTGAGCTTCTTAGCATCGAATTTACCAATTTTTGAATGCCCATGATAAACTAATTTACTGTTTTAATTTGTGCTACCAGCCATTAAGAATCTCAGAACATAATTTTATCTAATAGGTTGAGGTTGCCGTTGAGTATGTGTAGCAAAATGGCACTTGGAAATTTCTTCCATACGAAAAACTCATAATAACTAAGTATCTCCTAGTACAGAGATGGCGAACCAATGGTACGCGTGCCATTTATGGCACGAGACACAATATTTTGGGCACGCCACAGATCACAATTGTAATTACACTATGAATTGTTATTATACAAATGTTATTACACTATGAAGCATATGTAACAATTAAATTAAAATTCACAAAAGCAAAGCAAAATAATAAACAATTATTAATAAAGAAATGAACAATTAATGCTAAAAAAACAGTTAATAACCATTAAAAACAAGCTAACAATAAATAACTAGTAAACAAAAAATTAACAGTCCTGCTTAAACTAACATCTTACAACCTAATATAAGTTATTTGTCATCTAATCTGCAATAACAGAAGTCACACTGATGTTACATTTCGCGTATAACTGAGACATGGCACAATGTATTTATTTTCAATGTAAATAAAGAGTTTTAAGTTGATAGTATTTAGCATTATTATTTTCCCAATAATCACGGAGTGAAAATTATTTGACGGTACGTCTATGACCTCATTAAACAATTTTTTTAGAAAAAATGGCACGTTGGTGTATAAAAGTTCGCCACCCCTGTCCTAGTACCTTTTTCCACTGCGATTTCTGAAATTTACTGACTTGACAAAATAAGTTTAAGTTGTAAAGTTAAATACGATATTTCTCTTGGAAATCTCTATTCTTGCAAAAACTTAGAATCTACTTTCACTGAGCTCTTCAGTTCTTATCTAACCCTAATATTGTCAGAACTTACTTAACTTACCAATAATAAAACCCAGATTCTTTTTCCAATGATTCTTCAACAGCGCAATAGATGGTCGTCTGCGCACCTTGGTGAGCATTCTTCCCGATAAGTTTAAACCATCCAACGTAGATGTATGCAACAATAATGTTCATTGAAGTGTACAAATGCCGTGTAATATCAGTATGGACGAAACCAGGATGAAGACAATATGTTGTAACACCTGTACCTGTAGTGCATATCTAGTGATTTAATGCAAGAACAACCAAATTTAAAATTGCAAAATATTGAAAACTGATTTTTTAAAGTCAAGTAAAAAGTATTATGGTCAGATTGAAATTTCTCGGGATGTAGTTCATACATCCGAGAAATCTCAATTCTTCCACAGACGTACGTCACTTAGAACTTTCTTCCACGAATCTCTTCAATTCTCATTTAACCCTAATATTCGTTCTAGAACGTCGTCAGATCATCATAAACTAGCCAATAATAAAGCCCAGATTCTTTTCCCAGTGATTTTTCAAGAGCACAATAGTTGGTCGTCGGCGCACCTAGGTGAGCTTTCTTCCTGATAAGTTTACTACATCCAGCGACGTTGGATGTAGTATGGCAATTATGTTGAATGAAGTAAACAAATGTCGAAAAATATCAGTATGAGCGAAACCAGGATGAAGACAATGCGTTGTAACTCCAGTATTTGGAGTGCATATCTATTGGTTTAATGCAAGATCAACTAATTTTGAAATTTAATGAAATTTAAACTAAATGATTAAATTTAATGAAAAAATATTTTGGATTGTTAGTTACATAAATCTATCACAGGTGGCGCTAGCGGTTGAAATTCATAATCGAATTAGTAGATTATTCCGTCCAATCCATCCTATATTGTTAATGTTTTTACACTAGTTACCATTCATTTACGACTAGCGCTATGTATCATTTTATTTGTAAACCCATCTAACTTAAGTTAAAAACATGGAACCCTTTTACTGAACTTTCTTTTATCTGATTTATGACTCACTTTTAAAATTTATCAAATAAAGAAAAATCTTAAAAATGGCGAAATTGCGTATAAATTAAAATTTATTCTTATTAATAATACTTCTTGAAATATCAAGTCTATTCACATATCCCAACATAACATAAGCCCATCGATACACCGGAAACTTACAAAATTCCGTTTCTCTCTCAGTAGTCATATTCCCCTAATCATATTCAAGATGAAAAATTTACTACCTATGGTTTTTAAGTTAAGCTTTAGTTTTTTTTGTTGAAGAAAATAAAGAAATTTTTTTTGACTTGATTGTTCCATCGCATTAGAACTATTCTGATGGGGGTGTTGGCAACAGTTTTGAATTCATTTTAGCGATGATCGGAAGATAATATACACTCTATTCTATCATCATAGACAATGCAGTCTTAGTTACTTTATTTTTTATTTTATCTAATTTTTTTTATTTTGTCTTATTTTTTTATTTTATCTTATTTTTTTATTTTATCTTATTTTTTTCTTATTTTTTATTTTATCTAATTTTTTTTATTTTATTTTATCTTATTTTTAATTTTATGGTATTTTTTGTTTTATATTATTTTTTGTTTCATTTTATTTTGTAATTTGTCTTATTTTACCTTATTTATATAATTATATTTCAAGTTATTTAATATTATTTTTTATTTCATCTCATTTTTTCTTATTTTTTTAATTTATTTTATTTTATCTTATTTTACTTAATTTTATTTTATCTTATTTTATTTAATCTTATTTTATTTTATTTTTTAATTTACTGTTAACTCTTCAGGTTCCTTTATCTCAAATTTTCCAAAGATACAAAAGCAAACACGTAACTGAACTCTTAAAGTCACACGAGACTGTTGAGGCATTGTAAGGCCTGAAATTTATGTAATAATATCGTTGTTTGGTTATCTCAAATCGTAATAGAATTAATAGAATTTGTGATATGTAATAAAATTAATAATAGAATTTTGCTGCTCAACAGCTTAAATGAATGCTATAAATTATGTAAATAAACTGAAAGACATATTCCAGAAAAATGGATAAAGCTGGGAAATTTCCATTTATTTTTTATTTATTGCCTTTCCCGGTAGTTTTACGTTATTAGATTATAGAAAACAGTTTTTTAGACAAAGACAAATAAAACTAATGAGTAAACACACAAGATAAGTTGAGAAATGGAGTACCAGTAGTTTGACCAGGAAGTAGTCGTAAGTTGTTTAAATATTATTTTGTGCATCATTAACCCTTACTAAGCTAACAACTTAATTAAATACTCATTATATTGTAAACTCCGGTCATTTTGACTCGTGGCTAGCTATTAAGGATTAAATATATCTTATGTACTAAGCTGCAAATTACTTTAAAAAATCTTATTCTAAAATTTTTGGTTTTATTTGGAAAAATCGAGAGGAAATTGCTAGTACAAAAGAAGAAAGAAATTTTCTTTGTTGTTACTTATGAAAAAGGTCAATACCGGCAAGCCTGCTTGAAACCAAGCGAATTTTTAAGTCAGAGAGTGATTTTCTTGTTCTCCAGTGGCGCCATCTATGGCCAAGAACACGACTTACATCACACACACGCGTTACACGATCAATCTCTAATTCAGTACCCCCACAGGTTTTGATTTGTTATGGGAACTAGGAGGACTTCGACAGACTTAAGATGCACCTGTCCCCATTTAACACAGGGAAATTCTTCAGCTGGCGAAATTCGAACACAAGCTCTCATGAATACGAATCTCCAACCAACTATTCCTACTTGCTACCACCTACCTACCAGGCGATACCGGCTAAACTTTTCTAAGTATTCACAGGAAAATTTTTTAAAAAACAAATAATTGATAATTATTTAAACAAACGTTTACAATTCTCAAGAACTATTCCGCCAATTTTGTTTTAAATTTTGGATTTTATTCATTTAAAATAGCATAATTAATAATATGAGATAATAAAAAAAAGAGTTTCTAGATCTTGCAGTTCAAAGGTTTTTCGGATAGTATTAAATTAAATTGAAAAAAATTGAGTAAATATTAAAGTTTTTTAAATGGAATCATTGTTGTAGTTCATTTATGTCGCACTAGAGCTGCACAATGGGCTATTGGCAACGGTCTGGGAAACATCCCTGAGGATGATCCGAAGACTTGCCATCGCAATTTTGATCCTCTGCAGAGGGGATGGCACCCCTGCTTCGGCAGACCGACGACCTGCGCGCGAAGTCGAGCCCTTTACGGTAGAACAGTTTAACGAGGAACAATACCGCACACTCTCGGTCCCTAAGTGGACTAATCCAAGCGGTCACCCACCCGCCCACTGACCGCAGCCAGTGATGCTTGACTTCGGTGATCTGCTGGGAACCGTGTCTTAACGATCAGTCCACTGCGGGACTTTTATGGAAATATCTTTTAAAAAGAGAATTAATTTCAGAGCTGGTCAAACGAGTTGTGGGTTTCAGAAATGTGGAGAAAAACGTGAAAAGTTGAATTGCATTAAGGGATCTAAGCTTTGGACCGCTCTCCTGACTAAATTAAAGGGACCATATTTTGAGGGCCAAGAATTTAAATCCGTTGTGGGTCTAGTTTCCTGATCCCTGTCTCTAGATCAAACATATCAAAACTTTCTACTTTTTTTCCCTTTATACTTATATGACTTTTTCAGTATGCTCGAAAGCTATGACTATAGAACATTAAATATTTTTTTCCTAAAAGAGCATACAGCTATCTCTGCTTACTTACTTTGAAATTTTACGCTTAATTATTTTGAAATTTGTTTCCGACAAAATAATTTACCTTCTAGTCTCTTTGCTAGTTCACGTGTAAAGAGTATATTAGCTAGCTTGCTTCTGTTGTATCCAGCAATAGGTCCATAGTTACGATCCATATTGATGTCATCTAAGTCTATTTCACCAACTATAAATAAAAGTAAAAACACAAGTTCATTGCAAGAAACGTAAATATAATCATAATATTTCTAAAATTAAAATGATAACTAGAAGAGAATGAACACAAAATTAAATCAACATGTACTTACGTTAAATGTGAACAAAGTATAAATTTGATACTTATCGCATTCTATAAGGAATAAGAAATTCAAAATTAAACTCAATGTTTGCTTTTTGCCACAGATTATTTGGTTTACAGACCATTTGACTTACAACAGACCATTTAGATTACTTAAACCGAACACTGATCCGAATCACTTGATTCGAATCAGTGGTCTGTATCACTTGATTGAACCACTTGATTCGAAGAGCCAAATATTGATTTAAATCCCTTTATTCGAATCACTGATCTAAATACTTAATTCAGACCAAGTTATTCAAGTCATTATTTGAATCAAGTTATTTGAATCAGTAATATGAATCAAAATATTCGGATCATTGATTCGAATTAAGTGATTCCGATTACTTATTCGAATCACGTGACTAGGATCTCTAATTCGAATCAAGTTGTTTCGGCCATTGATTGAATCCAGTGATTCAGATCAAAGATTTGAATCATGAGATTTGGATCAGTGATCCGAATCAAGGAATTTGGATGAGTTATTCGAATCATGCGATTTAGAGCAGTGATTCTTATAGAGTGATTAGAATTAAAGAAATCAGATGATTCAGATCATTGATTAGAATCAAGTGATACTCATCACTTATTCGAATAAAGTAGTTTAGACCACCTATTTGATTCAAGTGATTCAGATCATTTATTCGAAACCAGTGATTCGGATCACTTATTCGATTTAATTGATTGATATCGCTAATTCGAATCAGGTTATTTGGACACTCCATCAAAAAGTTTTCCACGAAACCAAATTTCTCCCAATACTTGATCCAGGCATTCCCTTGTCTTCCGGATTGGGTTCAAAATTACATGGCTGCGGAGTTAAACACTGGTAGGTTATAAAATATAAAAAAATAAAGGGTTAAAAAATTAAAGAAGGTATAATTATCAACAAAAAAAAAGAAGACAACATTAGAAAAGAAAGCTGTCAAGCTTACTTGTGTGGAGAATGGAAGAGACATTGATAATTCTAGCTGGAGCAGAAGCTTTAAGACGTTCCAGTAAAAGGTTTGTCAACAGGAAATGTCCTAAATGATTCACTCCAAATTGCATCTCGAATCCATCTTCGGTAAGGGATTTTGGACAACTTGCTACTCCTGAAAATAACATAAACAATTACTATTAAAATGTTCTATATTTTAAAAAAGAATGAAAATAAATCTGGATTCAGTGATAGAATTCAGGTAGTGCATCGATTCTTTATATTTCTATGGCTTGTGCATTAGTCAAGGTATTCAGCAATCGTAACCGTCATTTAAAATTGCTTGCAGTTAGATAGTTGAAACGTGAAAACTTTAAAATTAATAAAACATACGGCTCAGAGCTACTTTTCAAAAAGTAATTGATGTATAGATTTTAGAAGTTACAATAGACCATAAAAATGCAATTACTAACATATAAAGTAGTCATATTTGTGTGGCTTGTACTCTTTAAATTCTTTAGTCCGCATATTTAACCTCTTGCCATCTACCATTTAATAATACTCCTAAGTACTTATTTGTATCTTTTTGGTAATTTTCGAGTACTTTATAAACTTTTTATTAACAAATAATGTGTTTTCAAAAATGTAAAAAAAAAAAAAAAATCTACGTAATGTTTTTTTTTCGGGGGGGGGGATGAATTTTATGTATATTTCTGAAGAGGCTTCAGAAAGATTGTGGGCCCGAATTCCGGACAAGGCACGGATGTTCTTTCAATCTCTGTCCTTACTGTGGAAGCAACGTAGGTCCACCTAACATGATGCCCCTGAAAGAATGGCCAACAAATATGCCCTGTAAATGCCCGAATTGACGAAATGTTAACACAGGTGGGTATTGGAAATAAAAAAAAATATTTCTGTAGTTACAGCATATGTAATTAAAGTTCATAAATAAATTTCAGGAAATAAAAATTTAATATTCATTTGTATAACAGTAGGAGTAAAAACATAATTTTTAACTGCATTATTATGCATTATTACGTAATTAAAGTTCATAAATAAATTTCAGGAAATAAAAATTTAATATTCATTTGTGTAACAGTAGGAGTAAAACCATAATTTTTAACTGCATTATTACGTAATTAAAGTTCATAAATAAATTTCAGGAAATAAAAATTTAATATTCATTTGTATAACAGTAGGAGTAAAAACATAATTTTTACCTGCATTATTATGTAATTAAAATTCATAAATAAATTTCAGGAAACAAAAATTTAATATTCATTTGTATAACAGTAGGAGTAAAAACATAATTTTTACCAGCATTATTATGTAATTAAAGTTCATAAATAAATTTCAGGAAATAAAAGTTTAATATTCATTTGTATAACAGTAGGAGTAAAAACACAATTTTTACCTGCATTATTATGCATTATTATGTAATTAAAGTTCATAAATACATTTCAGGAAATAAAAATTTAATATTCATTTGTATAACAGTAGGAGTAAAAACATAATTTTTACCTGCATTATTAATCAAAATATGAATGCGTTGTTCCGTTTTTAATATCTGCTTCGCAAACTTCCGAATAGAAGCAAAAGAAGACAAATCTAGCTGCTTCACATAAACTGCAGCTGAAGGCACTTTTTCTTTGATGTCTTGAGCTGCTTCTTCACCTTTACTTGTGTCACGACATGCAATAATCACTTTTGCACCTAAAATAATCAATGCTAGTCTCATTTATGCTCAAGAAGAAAGAAGCCAAATATTTCATTTTCTAGAAATCTTTTCATTTTATTTAGCTGCATTGTTGCAGTTGATTATTAGCAAAACAATGATAACAAATGCTTGTTGAGCTTTTCAAATAAATAGCCATTTACGAAAATTTTTTTCACAACAGTATTCCATTTTAAAAATGCGAACTTTTTTGCATTAATTGTCCATTTAAAAAAATACTAACAAGTGTGCTAATGCTAACAAGTATCTAACTATCAAAAATTATCAAAGTATCAAAAATTATATATGGTGATTCATTTATTTTTTTGCGCAGAGAACATCGAATTTACCCCTATTTAAAAGAATGATATATCGCGGTAGAAACTTTGCATGGTAAATTCTTTTTGATATTTTCAAACTTAAAACATTCATGAAATTTCCGCTGGCATTTTAAAATTTAAAGTTTAGAGAAAATTGAGCTCAGTTGTACCTAGATTAGATATTAAAGTTCCAAATGCTGAAAAATTTTTTTGAAAATATCAGAATGTTAATATTTTACGGTAAGACAGCTTTCCGAAGGCGCAATTTTTAGTAACAATACCATAATTTATTTAAAAAAAAAATTTCTGCCTTAACTTTCCATGGACTCACCCTTTCCATATTTTAAAATTGAAATAAAAGTTACCATGAAGGATTTCTCTCGTAGTGTAGCGTCCTGTTAACGAGTATGAATCTTTGAAATCTTACACCAAATTTTCGCTAAAGTTCAGGTGGTTTTTGCTGCTTCTCAATTGATGAACAGATATCAGACTTTTACAATCACAGAATATTCCTAGATGGTCAAATTTTATCCTCTTTTTAAATTCAGATTAACTTTTATCAGTTTTGTTAGCCTGTGATACTTATTTAAATTTTCTATTTTATTACTGAGTTGTTTTTGAATGTAAAATTCATTGATTAAATGCACGTTAGTTCACAATTCAAATACATAAATTTGAATAATGACATGAGTTTTTTCATACCTCTTTTGGAGAGACCCAAAGCGGTTTCTTTTCCAATACCAGTATTTCCACCTGTGATTATAACAGTTTTGTTTTTCAAAGAAGCCTTACTTTGGCATGTATTAGAGATAAATATGTCCCTTAAATAAACCAAAGCACTGTAGAACACTGTTACAAAAATTGCTGCGGAAAAAAATGTACATTTAAGTTATATTTTGTAACAATTTAATAAAGAATATCTTACTATAATGTTAAAATTGAACTAAGTGATAACATATTAAAGTGTTTTTATTGTATAATCATATCGCATAACATGATCCTCAGTCAGACTAGATGCATGAATAATTTGGAAAAATTGTAAACTAACAGTAATTAGGCAATCTTAATAATTTCTTACAAGGCGCGTGTTTTGTTTTTGCACGCAAAACTTGAATGAAATTATGGAAATTATTATTTTTTACTACTTTTAAATATTAATTAATTAGTTTTCATTATTTATTATCAATAAAAATTAATTAATTAATTATTATTACTTATTACTAAAATGAGTTAAATAGCATTATTTTAAATGGTTATGCTTAATTTTTAACATTACTTAAAATTAATTAATTAAAATAATTAATAAGAATTAATTAATTAAAATCAATCAAATTTAATTAAGAAAACTTATTAGAAAATATCGTAAAAAATTGCTTAGAATAATAAATTATCTCATGCAGACAAGAATGAAATAATTCTTAATAATTTCTCAAGTTTAAATAAGCCCTTTATTATTCTAAAGCATTTGTTTAAGATTTATTCTTCGATTTCTTAACTTTATTTTGTTAAATTTTGAACATGAGTATACATTAAACCTTTACAGCCAAATCCAGTTCTTTAAAGTAGAGACTTTATTTCGAAAGTAGTTTGCAATCATTACATTTTTAAAACAAGTAGTTGTTGTTAACGAAATATGTAATAAAGTTATTTAAGTTCTAAAACGTAGAAACGTAGTTTCTACGCTTTAACGTAAAAAAACGCATAAAAAAACGTAGTTTTTCCAGTCACTCTAATAAATGAATGTATAAAGATTTTTAACAAAAACATAATGGATATAATTTTAATTCCATCATTAAAATGATGAAATTTAAAAGTGTAGAAACTTGATCAAATAACTGTAAATAAAAATATTACTTTAATTAAAAGACTTTTTAATTCAGAAATTCTAGTATATCGATGCAGTTTAATTTTCAACTCGTGACATAAGAAGAAAAAAACGTATTATTGCTTTCGTTTTAAGAAATTGAAGAATATGAACATTTAAGGACGATAACTGAAATTATTATAAATTTGAATTTTAAATTTAAAAATTAGCACTGTTTTCTGGAAAGTCAACCGTAACCAGTTTTGAATAAATTACAGAATTTTAAATATTTTGAATCCGATACATTTCATAGTAAATATAATATGAAAATCATAAAAAATTACGTTTAAATTAAATTATTAGTTTGCATTAATTTTAATATAGGTTCGTTAAGAAACATTTTGTTAATATTTTTCGCAGTAAAAAAATTTTGAAATGTATAAATAATTTCAAAATTTTTGAATTAAAGATTTATGATATAAATTTTTTATTACTTTATACAATATCAATTAAGTTATTTTTTTTATTAGTTTTACACACAATCACAATTAGTTGATTCTATCTCATTTATAATGCCGCAATGTTGATTAATTGAAATGATCAAATTGAAGATAAATAATATATATTTTCTTTATTAGTTTCACACGTGTGCATAATCCAATTACATTTAATCTTTCCAATACTAAAAGCCTTAAAAATGATTAATAAAATGATGAAATTTACACGAAAATAAAATCAGGTAAAATTACCGTGCTGTATGGTAAGAACATTTCGGGAAAAAAAAAACATAATTCTAGTAATAAAAAACAAAATATACGGTATTCAAACCATTAATTATAATTATATATAGTAGGTTTATATACAATTATAATTAATATAATAAATAATTATAATTATAATTAATATAATAAATAATTATAATTATAATGAATATAATTTTAATTAATATAATAAATAATTATAATTATAATTATAATTAATATAATTATAATTAATATAATTAATATAGTAGGTTTTCAAAATTATAGTTCATATTATCACACATTAAGTAAAATATACAAAACTAAGAAATAAATGCAACCGAATAAATGTTTTTTTTTTGCCAAACTCTAAGGCATCATGATAAAATAATCAAATTTTGTCCCATTTACCAACTTTTTTCACATAGCATAAAGCTATATTTAGTAAAGCTATATTTATAATAAAGTAAAGCTATATATATTAGTAAAATATATATATAGTAAAGCTATATATATTATTACAATGATAAAATTATCAAATATTAACACATTTTCACAATTTTATCGCCAATCATAAAACTATCAAACCAAACCGAGCCAAACTGTATTTAACTGAAAGCATTACCAAGGCGCTTTGGTAAAAATTACCAATTTTTTTAATGCTCTCATAGAGTCAGAAATGAGGTAAATTTCACCACATTCTGGTAGTTTTGACAATACTTTTTTTCCTCTGTGTGAGATAAATAATAATGATAATTTCATTAGTTTAACCTACATGCTTTATTCAATAATATTTAATTTCTCAAATAGTTCAAGTCTTAAAAATACTTCATATTAAAATGATTAAATTTTAGATAAATAATATAAACTTTTTATTGGTATCACTACATGCTTCATTCAATCGAATTTGATCTCTCAAATAGTAAAGAGCCTTAAAAAGGACTAAATTTAAGATAAATACCATCGATTTTTGTATTAGTTTCACGTACAAGCTTCATTCAGTTATATTTATGGTTTTAAAAATAGTAAAAACCTTAAAAGTTTCCAATAGTAAAAGTATTAAAAAATTATTAAATTTAAGATGAATAATACAGATTTTTATTAGTTTCCGAAATTACATTTTATTCTTCCGTTTAAAATTAAATTTAATTAATGAATTAATATTAGAAAAATCTGTATTAACATCAAGTGCCATCCCCTAAAAGTTTTAAAAAATATATTTGAATTTGAAAGAATGGGCAAGAAGTATTTTATTAACGATTAAAAATTTAAACACGATACATAAATTTGTATAGAGAGTGTGAACTAATAGAAACTTATCAGACAACTATAAGAGCATAAATTTGATGACGTGGACCACACGTGCTACTTATTTTGCTCAAATTGAGCTATAAGTTAGAAATTATCACTGATGTTTTTTTTTAAAAATATGTGAAAACTGAATCGCTTATAGTAAAAATGTAAAGCAATGACTAGCGCTTAACCAATCAGAAAATTCCATTTCGTTTTTCGCTCATCCCTGTTTATTATACAAAAAAAAAAAAAAAAAANCCTTTTTTAATTAATGAATTAATATTTGAAAAAAAAAAAAACTGTATTAACATCAAGTGTCGTTCACTACGAGTCTAAAAAAATGTATTTGAATTTGAATGGATGAATAAAAAGTATTTTATTAAAGATTGAAAATTTGAATGGATGAATAAAAAGTATTTTATTAAAGATTGAAAATTTGAATGGATGAATAAAAAGTATTTTATTAAGGATTGAAAATTTGAATGGATGAATAAAAAGCATTTTATTAAAGATTGAAAATTTGAATGGATGAATAAAAAGTATTTTATTAAAGATTGAAAATTGGAACAAACAGTGTGAACTAATAGTAGGAATTGAATAAGGAGACAATTACTTACTTAACATTCTTACTTCCTCGAGCATATAGAATAGCAATGCTTATAAGAAAAGCTTCATGTATTATGCATTTGCCTCAAAACGTATTGATAACATCTAGATATGTGTACAGGTGCCGTGAGATCGCTAAATACGTTCAGTATTTGTGAAGAAAGGATAATATTATCTTTTCTCAAGGAAAAGACAGAATATGAAAAATAGAAAATATTCAACCCTAATAAATGTTTTCATTTTTCTGTTTCGTAATAAGCAACTATTGAAAAATATCTCTCACTTTGTGACAGAAGAAAATTAATGTAAATCATTATATATA